AGTCGCAGATGGATATTGAAATGGGCCAGGTTCTGGTTGAGGAGCCTGAAGAGCAACCTTATTGTCCTGATGAAGACGTCAAGCAGCGGATGTCCTTCGTCCTGAAGGAACTCAAGCTCAAAGCTATTCCCAAGGACACCAACAAGATTGTTGAAGAAACTAATGAATATAACACCAAGAAGGACAACAATTTGATCAACAATTTGAGAGGCACCAAGATCAACGGCGCCATTCCGTTGAATCGCCAGCGACCTTTTGAAGACGACGGCAAGCCGATTCCCAAAAAGAAAAATGCTGAGAGCATTGAGACTGTTTTTGCAAGAGTTACTGACTACCACACCTGGGCCCATGAAGAAGAAGCTCGTCGTGAGGAACGGACGGCTTTGTTACCGATGGACGAAGGCTCTTCTGGAGAAACATCAGGACCTGATAGTCCAGTTCATTCTATGGACGAATTGGATGAAGAACTGGACCTTCGCAAGGATCTAGAAGAACAATCCAGGCGCAGCTCCAGTGGGTCCACAATGCGCAGGGAAAGCGAGAAGCAGCTCCTTCATCAGGGTTCTGATTCCCTATCCAGGGAAGGAAGCGTCAGTGTTCCACCCAGTGAGGTCTCCGTTAGCATTCCCGGAGGCTGGGACTCGGAGAGCACTGTCGTTGAAGGAGAACGCGATGGAGCTGGAAGCGCGGAGACTGCAACGCTAAGCTTGCCCAAGATTAAGATCGATTCTTCGTCCTGCGGAAGCTCTGACACCACTTTGAAGGAAGGACAAGTCAGTCCTGGACCTCTGGGGTCTAAATGGAAGCTCCTGAAGGCTTTGAAGGAACGCAAGGCTGAAGACAAGCTCAAGGAGGAAGAAGACGCCACTGCCAAGGAAACTGCTGTTCCTCCTCCGCCTCCTACTGTGAGTATCATGATCAAGTGAGGGCACGAAAATCTCAACAGGGTTTACTCGAAATTCGGGTCCTGGTCTTGGAATTTTCACCAGGCCTAGCGGTTTCGAGGATTCTTCTGTTGTGATTGGTGATTTTTTGATGGGTTTTTATATACTTTTACATTATGGTTAAGTGGGTGTAATTAACGAAAAATGAAGTCAATAAGAGGCAACTTTCGTTCTTGCTCTCTAATGTCAATTAAGGCTACTTGGATCTAACGATTAGATTAAGAATAGGTTATTCGTCTTCTAATTATTGGTTTAGTAGGATACTTTGTAACGAAGCTTACCTAACCTCGTCAAGCTTTCAATTTAATGAGGATATATTAATTAATTATTTATAAATAAGATAAAAAATGTCCCAGCTTATCTAATGAATATTTGTAATTTTTCTAAAAAATCTTGGTGGTTTTTGATGAGTTTTAAATTTTTTTACTACAGCTTTTGGAAGATATTCTAAAATTTTCGCACATAGGTCTAAAAGTATAAAGGTGCTTCTTGAATGAAAAATTTAGCTTTGGAGCATGCTTGAAAAAGAGTTACTTGATCAATAGACAGTTAAGGAGATCCATAAAAAATTTTATTTTTTATATTATGATTCATTTTATTGTCAAAAATGAATTTTTAATGAGTGTTTTAAAATTTAATTAATTAATAGCATTTTTTATGAAAAAAAGTGTTAGAATCGTGAAAAATGAGTTTAAGTTGATTTTAAGCGAAATTTGAATCTCAACAAGATGGCGGATATAACGTTGCACGAAATGGCGGCTTAGATGTGAAATTTAATGTATAGGTTAAGGAGATCCACACAAATAATTTTTAATCCTGAATTTGTAAATTCAATCTAAATAATTGATAAAAAACTTAATAATTATTTAATGAATAAATTTTTTGGAAATTTCTTCAAAAATGTTATTAATTAATTTTAAGATAACAAAAATATTTTTACGTATTATTTTTTTATCGACATTCTTTACACTAGGGTTCTTGGATCTCCTTAAATGGATTCTTTTATAATCTTAGCGAATTTTTATGGTCATGAATATACAATGAAAAAAATATTGAAGTACTTTCATGGTAATATGCGGCATCAATAGTCTAGATTAGAACATTTTAATGCAAATTATGGAAAAAAATTTGGATTGAAGTATTGATTTAATTTCTGTGATGTGAAGTTAGGAAATTCTTAGGATAACATCTAAGGACGTGAAAGCGATAGAGTTATGTAAGATGTTATGCATGTTAGGTGGTGAACACAGAACAGATTCTAACGTAATCGGGCAAGCATGAAAACGAAAACTCAATGCAAATCGAATAAGTGGAACACCTTTAACATAAAAGTTGATATATGCTTATAGGAATGTAATATGGTTTCATGAGAGGATTTTGAAGAAACAATATAAAATTATGCAACAAAATAAATGCAATTATACTTTGAAAAATTTTTATTATCATAACTTTACTATCAATGGATTGTAATAAAATTGTCCGCAATTTTAGTGTGCGAATCCGAAAAAGTTGAATTTAAACCAAGTAAAAATTAATGAAAAATTTTCACAGAGGAAAATTTTTATTAGAGATACTGAATAAATCTCGCGCTGAAAAAAAATAATTTTTTTTTAGTGTGGTTCAGATTTTATGATCATTGATAGAGTCGTTTTTGAATCGAGTAGTTTTGGCTTGATGAGTTAAAGACTTCAGCAATTTGAAGTTGTAGAATTTGGCAAGCTTCCATAGGAACTTGTGCCAAAATGACTTTAGTTGGTCGTTTTTATCCAAGTTATTTTGAATTGAACGATCATGACAATATTATCAAATTATAATAGAAAACTTGCATTAATTAATAAAAATTAATAAAAATAATCTATATTATTAAAAGATTAAGAAAAATGCTCTATTTCTAAATACATGATTAAGAAATGACCTCATATCTTGTGAATTATTGAAATTTTTCAAGATATAAGCTCACCCCGACATTACACTCATCAAGACCTTTCATTTGAGTACTCACATCAATTTTTCATATATTTATATATATATATTATATATATCATATATATGTATATATAAAAAATATATCAAAAATTCATGTGGGTACTCAAATGAAAGGTCTTGATGTGTGTAACATCAGAATGAGCTTATATCTTTGAAAACGTCAATATTTAAGAAAGTACAGTGCAATTTAACAAAAGTAATTATTTAATAAAGCAAGGTCACTAGTAATCTTTCATGTTACAAGCAATAAACCAGGATTTTAGTCACGGTACATAAGACGACATGATACTTGAAGTATACGTACATATAAATTAGATTCGGAAAAATTTCATTAGACTGCATTCTAAAATACTCTATTTCTAGATACATAATTAAGAAATGACCTCGTATCTTGTAAAATATTGAAATTTTTCAAGATATAAGCTCATCCCGATGTTACACTCGTCAAGACCTTTTATTTGAGTACCCACACCAATATTTCATATATTTTATATATTATATATATCTATATATGAAATAGATATCAAAAATGCATGTGGGTACTCAAATGAAAACTCTTGAAGAGTGTAACATCGGGATAAGCTTATATCTTAAAAAATGTCAATAATTAAGAAATGACCTTATATCATGTAAACTATTGATATTTTTAAAAATATAAGCTCATCCCGATGTTGCACTCATCAAGACCTTTCATTTGAGTACCCACATCCAATTTTCATATATTTTATATATTTGTATATATTCTAAATATGTATATATGCAAAATATATCGAAAATGCATGTGGGTACTCAAATGAAAGCTCTTGACGAGTGTAACATCAGAATGAGCTTATATCTTTAAAATATATATTATATATATATATGTATATATGAAAAATATATCAAAATTGCATGTAGGTACTCAAATGAAAGCTCTTGACGAGTGTAACATCAGGATGAGCTTATATCTTTGAAAACGTCAATATTTAAGAAAGTACAGTGCAATTTAACAAAAGTCATTGTTTAATAAAGCAAAAACTTTAACGAAATATTAAATCACAGATTTTGCAAGTTCTCTATTATGATTCTTAATTTTTTTTCAGTGCAAATAATAAAAAAATTCTCGAATATTTCACTGAAAAACACTTAATTAAGTTTACCTACCCAATTAATAATCTAAAATATCAATTTCCAAAAACTGCGACCAATAATTCACGACTAACGACCATGAAAACTAATTAAAACGGTCTATTGATCAAGTGCCTGTAAATGAAAATGATGTAATAATAATTGTAATTGTAATTTATCGAATGATAAATAAAGCAACCCTAATTCTAACTCTAACTAGGAGTAGAGCCGCACTCGGAAAGTTGCTAGTCAACAATTTGAGCGTGATTTGTAATATTATAACAGGTGGTAATAACCCGATAATAATCCGTACGCATTGCAGATCATACTCACGTGAGATTTAACTGGTACTCTATTGAATATCACGCAACGTCCGGGGATTTTGCGCACACTACTATGCTTCGCTCCGGTAATAGAAACTCCGAAAACTATCGATTAATCGAATAAACAAAAAGTAATTGCCGATATTTAAAAAAAAAAAAACAGGGAGAGAAAAGACCAATTTCTCACTTTTATATTATACATTATTGCTATTACTATTAAAATAATAAAAATAAAAAATAATAATATTGAAAAAGAGAATAAAAGCAGAGACGCAATTAGCATTGCAGAGGTAATTTACATAAAATTACAGTAACATACATTAAATTAAGAAAAATATTTAATCATCGCTTACAAACTCGGAAAGTTTTATTTCAATTATAAACTTTTGTTATTAATGTTAACGTTAATTGCACTCGAACATTTTTCAGCACAGTATCATCTGTAATGATAATAATTATTATTAAATAATAAATAGATAAATTAGTAAATGGAAGGTGTCAATTAATAAATTAACTCTCAAGGGTCTCATCGATTGTTCTGGCGATTTTATTAATAGTTTTAGCCACGCCGATTGAGGCTAATTGAATCGTGTTGGTTTTTAAAATTGAAATTACAATTGGAAAAAAAGATCAAAAAGCAATGAAATTGTTTGATGGAAACTTTCGCGGTGAATTTTGATATTAATTTTATTTGAAAGGGAATTGGGTGGAAAGTTTGAAAGCAATTATTTGTCGGGTGAAGTTGAAGGAAATTGCGATGTCTTTTTAGGGAAAAGTTTGTACTGTAAAAATTGCGGAGGTAAATTATTTATATAATTAATAAAAATTCATCTTTTCGTAGTTGATTTATACACTGATAGAAGGATTTATTAACTATTAATAATTTAATTTATTTGAAGACAATTAATTTATTAAATATTTTTTAGTACTCAATAAATATTTATTTGGAAGGAAAGAACATTTATTAATAGTTAACAAATATTCATTAACCATTAATAAATATTTATTAACAGTTAATAAATTACTTATTAACTGTTAATGAAAAAGATCTCTTATCACTGTTGTTTATTTTTTGAAAATGTAATAGATTTTGGCAAAATACCTGTTTTAGATGTTACAGTGGTGGTTGGAGGTGTTGAAGTGTTTAAAAGATCCATTTGATAGGTGGAAGTGGAGGTAGGAAGTCTTGCAGGGATGAAAATCCCTGATTCAGAAAGATGATTTGAAATAATTACCTTCATGTTAATTGTATATCTATATTAGGGTGTGCGAAAATGTAACTTCCTTGATGGACCTCTTAAAATTGAAATTTTGAGTTCCGCTTTTAACAGGAGTTGTGTTTGGGTATTTCCTGACATATTTTGAGGGTTAAGGATTTATTTGATTTTTCTAGAATTTTTTAACAGGAGTTTTTGCTGAAATTTCAAAATTTCATAATTTGGCCGAACAAAACTCCTGTTAAAAAACTCAAAATTCCAATTTTAAGAGCTCCATCAAGGAAGTTACATTTTAGCACACCCTAATCTATATAGTATTCAAATCCGATGTATTTAAATCATTTCAAATTAGGTTTCTTAATCAGGGATACCTATTTGAGGATGGAAATGGAGGTAGGAGGTCTTGCAGCGTTGAAAATACCTATTTTAGAGGTGACAGTGGAGATTGGACGCTTTTTCTTTTCGGAAGATCTAACAGTTGAGAAAGGAGGTGTTAGATTTTGGAAAATGTACTCTGCAGGTATTAGTTTGGAGGAAAAAAAATTAGACGTCATGATAGCGTCTCATTTTTTTAAAAACGGGTTACAAGACTCCGGAGGTATTTCCTCTTGAACTTGGTGCAGTAAATCTTGCAAATTTTGTTTCGGATTCTCTTTTTAGAGCGTGTCTAATAGGTTTGGAGCTACATCATTGAAAGTAATATTGTTGAAATCATCACCAATTAGTAGTTTTAAACTGTGCACTAGCTCAATTAAACATTTCAATTTCATGAGTAAAATTTCTTTTACATAGAATCTGTCTTTTTCTTTTTTCATAACGTTTCTCCAATACTTACAACAATGCCTGGAAAATTGCAATGAGTTTACCCCTATATGTTAGTATTTTAGCTTATTTTAAATCCAATTATGTATATTTTTATGCTTACAACTTACAACAATGCCTGGAGAATAGCAATGGTTTCTCTAATAATTAACATGATAGGTTAGATCTATCGCACATTTTGGTTCGTGTCTCTTAGGTAATGCTGCACTAGTCTTTATTCTTTTATAATTGAGCTCTTCGTCAATCAATACTTTTGTAATTCCATCTAAAAATATAAATTAAAAAAAAAATATATTACCTGTTAATAAATATTTGTTAAATCCTATGATGTTAAAAATTAATTTATTAACAGTTAATAAAGTTTATTAAGTATAATCCTTCTATCAGTGTACGGAAAGAAAAAACAGTTAAATTTAAGGGTCGTAATACGGAAAAATTGAAAAAAAATTGCAGTTCGAAATGACATTTTTATAAATTCAAACTCTGAATATTAATTTTCAGAGCTTTCAATGTAACATTTACATTTTACAATGCAATTCTTACAAAATCTGTAATAATTACTATCTGAAACGGTAATTTTTCAGTTTTTTATATGAAGCACCACGTTACATTATATAATGTAATTTTTCTCTTTTTATTCTGTGTACGTGCTAAATTTACATTTTTTATAATATAAAACCTATATTTCTAAAAAAAATTAACATTTTCATGTTGACAATTTTTATAATGTAAAAATTCCATTGATAAAACCATAAATTTAACATTCTTTACTGTTATTTTGACAGGAATTTTTTTCCATTCATTATTTAGAGTACTAAATTAAATTTTCACATTATTTTACATGTATAAAATTCACAAATAAATGTTAAATTTACATTCTTTCCACATGCAGAAAAAACTTTTGTTAAAATAACCTAAGATATGTTGTAGTAACAAATTATATATTAAAATAACAAATAAATTTGTTACAGTAAATTTTATAAGAATACATTTAAAAATATGCTATAATCAGCTATACGACGTTCTAATTAACAAATTGTCCAACTCCATTTTAGAGAATCTTCTATTCGTATGAAAAAAATAATTAGTTAAAATTTATTATCACTTTAAAAAACCATTTTATATAATTATTATCTAATAGATATATAATTCAAATAATTAATAATTCGATTATGGCTACATCAAAATGTTAAAAAATCACTCTCTAAAAAATAAGGAGTTAGACAAATTGCTAATTAGACCTTAGTATAGCTGATTTGGAAAATGTTTTGGCAACAAATTAGTTTTGACAATAAATTAATTTTGTAAATTAACAAACTGGTTTATTAGTACAACTTGAAACATTTTGTTAATGCAACTAATGGATTTGTCGCTATAACTACACTTATTTATCACCACAACATATTTTTCAGTTATCCCGTTTTTTTCGAAATGTCAAGAGTAGAGCACAACCTCAACGCTTTGCTTATGAGGCGTGCAATTTATAAACTTTACAATTTCTCCTATAATTTTAACAGTACTATTTTTCCATGAAAAAATTCAGTTTAAAAATTCAGAAACTAAAAAGATATAGCCAAAGCTGACAGAATTAAGATCCCGATAAATTCTCAGTAACTTTTTGGAGATTAAACTTAGCAAGTTTATAAAAGCCGGCTCGCCGCGAAGAGTTTCCTCGTAAGAAATGAAAATTATGAATGAAATGAAAACTAACACGGTGGTAGATTAATAAGACTGTTTAGTGAATAAAAAATGGCGAACTAAGTCTAGCGTCTCAAGTTAGAACCCACCACCATCATCATTACCATTATCATTATCACTAGCATAGCTTAATCTAAGAAACTAACGGTTGTATTACGTCATAGCAAACTAGCATAATAAATAATTGATGCTTGATACTTGACCGTCTGAAGAAAGCTCGGCTTACTGTTCGACAAAACGCGAGTTAAGCCCGCGGATTAAACCTCCGCGTCGGCCATGACAGTTTAACCAAAGTAAATTTGAGGAAGGATTCTGCTATCAATCTATGCTCGTTAATATATATCATATAATATAATAGAAGCGGGTCGTGACTTATAATAAAATATTAAGGGGCCACAGGCGACGTGTTTAAGCTTTTAGTTACACATCGATTTTCCCATCATCATATCATCACAATATATATATATATATATATATCATATATATTACACAACATATATCATAGCTGCTATTAATGTACTCACTTGAGTTTCAATTTGGATACTTACTTTGTGGGTAAGTTATCGGCAAATCGGATAACATTAGCTCGTTGATAGTATCAAGATCGGCATTACCTTTCATATCGCGGGTCATATCTCCATATCTCATATCCATATGTCATATCGTGTGATTATAATCATCGGATTTGTAGGTTAGTAAAATGTAGTTAGAAGCTTGGTAGGTATTAAATAAATACGAATATGATTATATCATATATTATTGATAGTATTCAAATGATTATAAAGGTTAGAAAGTAGTGATATCGCCAGTCAATACCGGCCTAATTAATCGTTTAGTGTAGTGAAACAAGACTTATTCTTTTAGTAACATGGCGGCTGGATTAATGATTTTGGTTTTTTTTTTATTTGATAGGTTTTTTTCTAAGGTGGAAAAGTTGTGGATTTTAAGAAAGGTTGAATTTTTGAGGGTTGTTTGGATAATTTAATAGAAAATAGATTAAATTTTGTTGTTTTAATGGAATCTATTGTTTTGGTATTTTCAATTAGTTCTATTGCTTATAATGGATTCTATTAATTTCGACAAATTCTATTAGATTCACTAGATTTTACTATTTTTAATGGATTCCATTATTTCTAATGGAGTTAATACTTTTATTGGAATCTACAATTTTATCAAATTTTTATTATCTTTGATAGATTTTATTACTTTCAAATAATTCTATTTATATAGGAATATTCCATTATTTTTAATGGATTTCATGAATTTCAATGGATTCTACTGATTTTTATAAATTATGTTACTTTCATAAGATTTTACTATTTTTAATGGATTCCATAACATTTAATGAATTCCATTATTTTTAATGGAATTAATACTTTTAATCGATTTCATTATTTCTAGTGGAGTTAATACTTTTAATGGCTTCTATAATTTTACAAAAATTTAATTTTTAATAGATTTTATTACTTCTAATAAATTCTTCTTATATCAATATATTCCATTACTTTTAATGGATTATTACTTTCAATGGATTCCATTAATTTCAATGGATTCTAATGATTTTGATCAATTCTATTATTTTCATGAGATTTTACTATTTTTTATGGATTCTATTACTTTTAATGGATTCCATTAATTTCAATAGATTCTCTTCATTTCGATAAATTCTATTACTTTCACTAGATTTTACTATTTTTTTATAGATTCCATTATTTTTAATAGATTCCATTATTTCTAATGGAATTCCACAATTTTATGAAAATTCAATCATATTTGATAGGTTCCATTACTTTAAATGAATTCTATTTATTTCAAAATAATCCATTATTTTTAATGGACCATTACTTCGAATGGATTCCATTAATTTCAATAGATTCTATTGATTTCAATAAATTGTATTACTTTCACTAGATTTTACTATTTTTAATAGATTCCATTATTTTTAATGGATTCCATTATTTTTAATGGATTCCATTATTTTTAATGGATTCCATTATTTTTAATGGATTCCATTATTTTTAATGGATTCCATTATTTTTAATGGATTCCATTATTTCTAATGGAAGTACAACTTCTAATGGAATTCCACAATTTTACAAAAATTCAATTATATTTAATAGGTTCCATTACTTTAAATGAATTCTATTTATTTCAAAATAATCCATTATTTTTAATGGACCATTACTTCGAATGGATTCCATTAATTTCAATAGATTCTATTGATTTCAATAAATTGTATTACTTTCACTAGATTTTACTATTTTTAATAGATTCCATTATTTTTAATGGATTCCATTATTTTTAATGGATTCCATTATTTCTAATGGAAGTACAACTTCTAATGGAATTCCACAATTTTACAAAAATTCAATTATATTTAATAGGTTCCATTACTTTAAATGAATTCTATTAATTTCAAAATATTCCATTACTTTCAATAGACCATTACTTTTAATAGATTCCATTAATTTCAATAGATTCTATTAATTCCAATAAATTCTATTACTTACATCCAATTCTACTATTTTCAATAGATTCCATTATTTCTAATAAAATCCATTAATTTCAATAGATTCCATTATTTTTTTTTCCATAATTGCTTAAAAATTTGATTTTATCAAATATATTCCATTCCTTCCAATAATTTTTATTGATTTCAATAGATTCCATTATTTTCAATAGACCATTACTTTCAACAAGTTCCATTAGTCTTAATACATTCCATTATTTTTTTTACAAAATTAATTATAATTAATAAATTCCATTACTTGAAATAACTTTCATTATATTTAATACATTCCATTATTATCAATAGATTCCATTAATTCTATACTTAACTACCATTAATAAATTAATTATAAATTAATAAATAAACATCTATTATCATAAATAGACCTTTCCATTGATCCATTACCATTATCAATACATTACCTTCTAATTCTATTAAAATTCCATTAATATTCCATTAACCATTCAATATAAAATTCCATTATTAATAAATAATTATTAATAAAGCTTACAAAAATCTTCCAATGGTTTTTTAAACCAAAAAATTAATCAGTCCATTAATCCATTAAAATTCCATTATTAAA